AGTAAAGATACGAAATTGTACGTTTTTGATCATTTTTTTATCGTAAATATTGGTCGCTTACACTTTATTCCGTGGTTAAGGCACTGGATTCGGAATCTGCGGGTCGCTGGTTCGAACCCCGTCACCGAGCATGTTCGTCCTTTCAGCCGTGTGGGCAGTCATTCCTACTACTCGTTGATGAGTAGACCAAGAGTTGGCGGAACGTGGTCTTTCACTAGCTGCCTTCCCTCTAGTCTATCATTTTAACATTAGAGACGGCTATCACAGATAGCTCAAGAATAACTTTGCGCGAAATTCAACAAAATAAGTAAACAAACAGCCATTTTATTCCGTGGGTACATGGCATTACTTACAGTTTATATTTTGATGTTGTTCTTGTTACAATTATACTATTTAAAGTTCATTATTCTTCCATTCGTGTATGTAGTTATATAGCTATTTTATAGTTCGGTAAACATATAATGTAACTCCATAAATCAAATACATTTAATTTTTGGCCTTTATCTTTCCATTAAAAAAGATAATTTCGTACGAAGTCTGAATGAAACTTGTGACACTGTTTCTAGTTGTCATCTGTAATGAAAATGATAATTTACTATTGAAGGATGCGAGAATTATTATATTTGTAACTAAAGGGGTGCGCCCCCTAGTGGAACAGTGGTATGCAGACTTACAATTAAACTGGTGTTTTTTTTGTTGTTTTTTATATTCTTTCATCATCAACTCAATTATCTGCGTATGAAACTCTTAGCAACTTGCAGATCTTCTTCAAACTTATTTTAACAAGTCCCTCAGGAGCTAAGGGGGTGTCTTTACACTACAATTTGTTGAATATTGAAATTAAGTTCAATCCAGAAACTCCCAAAGAGGATGGTTTTGGACGTATCTTTTCGAGACAAATTTTTTGTTTGTTAAGTGATAACTTTTTTAAGTGAAATACAACATTCTCAAGTCTCCATACTAGCTAATACTAAGGTCTACTCGCTGGTAGTAAATTCAGTATGTATCAATAAAGCCACATTCTTAGCATCATTAATTAAGCAATTGCCAAACTTTTATGCTTCTGCTATCACCTTTTTATGTTTTGCTTTCAATTGAGATACGAACGACTTCACCTGCAATTTGGTAAGGAAAGTCGAAGAATCACGATAATCAGCAGTAGGATGAGCAGACAGGAACACTTGGAAAGCAGCTACAGGCATAATGTTGTACTCGGCTTGCTGCACCATATCTACCAAGATGATTCTAAACGGTTCCTGAATACCTCTGTGTGTCATGTGGATACTTCCATGCTTCTTGTACTTCGCCATTAATCTCGTGATGCGCTGACGGATTTCAGTCACCTTACCACCTCAAATCACTTTTCATAGTCCCTACGCTAAAAAAGTGCGAGAAATGCATTTTTTTAGCCAATAAAAATGTCCAAAACATTTCAGTTCAAATTAAGAAAAACCGGATTGGGTGGTTGTTTTATTTTGTTTTTTCAACAAAAATGTTCCCCCACTGGCTTGTGAGGGGCCTGTTAAAACAATTCTCTAAAGGCAACTTTGTTTAAAATTCACAAGCATAACAGTGTTGATAATAGAAATTAAATGTACAATAACTTTGCTTTCTTCACCTTCATGACACTAAAGCCACTGTCTCCCAGTGGCACTGGCCCGGCATGGCCAGGTGGTTAGGGCGCTAGACTTGCAATCTGAGAGTCGCGGGTTCGAATCCCCGTCACACCAAACATGCTCGCCCTTTCAGCCGTGGGGGCGTTATAATGTGACGGTCAATCCCAATATTCGTTGGTAAAAGAGTAGCCCAAGAGTTGGCGGTGATTGGCGATGACTAGCTGCCTTCCCTCTAGTCTTACACTACTAAATTAGGGACGGCTAGCGCAGACAGCTCTCGTGTAGCTTTGCACGAAATTCAAAACAAAACAAACTCAGTCGCACAGTCTGCGGACTTACAAAGCTAGAAACCGGGTTTCAATCCCCCTGGTGGGCAGAGAACAGATAGCCCATTGTGTAGCTTTGTGCTTAATTCCAAACAAACAAACTCAATCTACTATTAATAAAAATGAATAATAAAATGTTTCTTTTTCTGATACTTTCTTGTGAATGTAACATGATTATATGTTTGTAATATTTTAGAGGTTTAAATACATCCAGACAAGTCTGATGAAATGAAGAACACTGATCATGATAAGAACTAACACTGATTCTCTATTCGTTTAATCTCTTCGTTCATACAGTTAAAACAGTCTTAAAGACAAATCGATACAAATCCCTCTTGAACGTTTCTACAAACAGTCAAGAACATTTCTACATTCTCAGTAAGTGATTCATTTTATCAGCCATAAGAAAACAATTTAAAATTCGTAATTATTGTTCTGAACAATTGGGTGTTAGTACATTGTGATCAAACAATGTAATGATGAACATTATCCAGTTATCAAAAACAACTGACTAATGTACGAATTAAAGAAACGATCTAAGAAGATAATATTTTAATTATAAAATAACACATAATTTCAAACACAAAAGTTTACAAAAAAAAAGGCGGAAAATTGAAACTCTACATAAGAAAGAATATAAAACACAAAAGCAGCCTATTTATGAAACTTATTTTTTACATTTTTACATCACATGTATCATTTCTTTATGAAAACACCCCCAAGTGGCACAGCGGTATGTCTGCGGACTTACAACGCTGAATCCGGGTTTCGATGCCCTTGGTGGGCAGAGCACAGATAGCCCTTGTGTAGCTTTGTGCATAATTAAAAAACAAACAAAACAAACTAACAAACTTTATGATAATGTTTCCAGTCACCATAAGGTTATGTTAATGTCTTATTTTATTATAAAAGGCATATTTTTCAATATGTCGTCACTAGATGATACTATCCTGAGGCTTACACAGTTCTCGCCCCCCCCCCTCAGTGGCCCAGTCTGCACACTTACAACGCTAGAAACCGAGTTTCGATACTCGTGGTGAGCAGAATACAGATAGCGCATTGTGTAGCTTTGTGCTTAATTAGAAACAAACAAACACAGTTCTTATTTAATTATAAAATCTATCTATTATGCTGGTTTCCCCAGCGGTAAGTCTCCGGACTTGCAATGCAAAAATCCGTGATTCGATTCTCCGCGGTGAAGAGAGCACAGATTGCCTATTGTGTAGTTTTGCGCTAGAAATAATCTATTATTACTATTATGTAATATAATCTACTAAATATAAAGTGTAAATAATTGTCATTATTTTATCAGAAGTATTTGGAAGAAAACGTTTATAAAACGCAGACGAAGACCATTTTATGTTCTTACTTGATTCAGGAAATCAACTCTTTGTTATTTTATGACCAATAAAATTACGACCGTTGATCATAGATTTTCCAAATGCGAGCTAACATTCATGATTAGATGGGAACGACGGTTTAGGATCATGCAATTGTGTTCGTGTAGTTATATAAATTATAGTTTTTGGTGGCTTGTTTGTTTCACATTACAACACCCACCCACCCCCCACTACTGAAAAGACGAGTTTGTTCTGTGACTGGATTCGAACCTGCGACCTGCAGGTTACAAATCAAACCACCAAGCCGAGCTAAGCCCTTTTTGGTGGTTTCTTACCTGAAGGTACATTAGTTGAAACGCATTCTTCTTTTCTGTTGTTGTTGTTG